TTTTAGTCTTTCAGATTAGCAAGCTATATATATATTTAGTGCTTTATTCTCAAACTGTTTCACCACAAATGACAGCTCATTTCACAAACAGCTTATCTTATGGCTAAAGATATATAAATACATACTAAAAATGCTGCTGAAAGTCTCAGAATGTATAATGCAGCCTGGTAGACATGGTAGTGATTGTAACACTGCATTGTAGACACAAATGTTAAAGAAACTTGGCAAGAAGCAACACATTTTAGCTACTCAAAATTCAGATTTTCTCAGACTTGTCCCCTTCTGATGAATGGAACATATGGGAGTATTGTTCATAAAACTTACATTGCTTTTCTTGATGTCTACCAAAATTCCTCATCATGACAATATTTACCAAGATACATAAAGATTTAAATTTGAATTAATTACCCAGAAGTTTTTCTGTGCTTCCAGGTTTGCTGGAAAAGAAAAACACTTCAGAAGCAATGTGTTGTGAGCGTTTAGCAGTAGATGTTTTAGCAGCAGAGGTAGCAGAGTGCTTGCTGGGGAAGGGGCCTACCCAGTTAAAAGCCATCACTGCTGAGTGAGATAAAAGACAGGGAAGAAAGCAGCTGCTTTGCCAAGAAGCAGTTTGAAATCTGACATTATAAACACAACACATTTAGATCTAGACATAAATCCTCCGTATGCTGAAGGCTCAGTAATATTTTAGCTAGCATTATTACTCACAAACAAACAGTTCCTGAAATACAGCATCAAAACTGCAGAACAGCCTTTAACCTTGTGTTCATCCACTCAAGAGCCATGTTATTTATTATCCTTTATCCCTTAATTATGGGGACTTCACCTACTGCTCTCTGCTCATTTGAAATGCAGAATAAAATACAATGGATGTCTAAAGACTTAACAGGTGTCAACCAGATATTTGCCAGCTACTACTACTATTCTACTGGGAGAAGTTGCTGTTCTATAAATACTAATTAGAGTTTTGCACATGATCTTGCTGAAATACCTAAGGTGATGAGTGGCCAGTTGTTACTTTTAAAAGATTAGCACAATTTGAAAAACTAATGTCCCCAATGAGGCAATGCTCACACTGAATAATCAAGAGTTATAGCTGCTCTCTGCCCAAAGGGAATATTTGCTCACTTCATCATTTGGAAAATCTGCTGCCTCTCGAACAATTCACTCTTCTATTTAACTTTGAGAAACTTGTAAAACTTTGTGCAATCAATAAATTAGTAGAGTATATGGACTTAGATGGTCTTCCACTGCTATGCCCACATGGGCAGGCTTTTTTACTGCCTTTACTTCCAAAGACAGAGCTCTTAGTGTGAAAACATGATTAAGAAACTGCAACAAAATAATGTTGCACTTAAATCAACCAGCAAAGTAAAATAGGATTACAGTATAAAGTCTGTAAACACAGCAAAAATTCAATTTCCTCAAATCCATCTCCCTTCAAATTCCTCACATCCACTAAACAGGAAAAACAGACACAGGCAAATCAGAACAGGTCTCTATGATACCGAGATTTTATATTAAAAATTTATATATAGTAATTTTTGATTTCAAGATAGCCTCCAATTTTCTAAAATCTTGGTGCAATATAGCTGAAAAATAGTAAATTTTAAGCAAAATGTTAAAGTGACACAGCCTGTTTCCTTGGTTTGTAATAAAATCCTGAGTTTTATCTTGTCCAGTCTGCTGTGGAAAGCAACTGATGTCACAAGGTGTGACACATTGCTGTATTTCTATATGTGAGCTGTGCTTCAATGCAGTGAATTTGATACAACTGATATAATCCCTTGCTATTTCATGTCCATGACCAAGTGTGGGGAAAACATACACATCATTTTAATCAGAATTTTTTTCCAGGCTTTAATTTAAAAAAAAAAAAAAACACCTTTTTCTTTGCAGTGAAACCTATATTTTTCTTTATCCCTCAAGGATATCCCTACTGCTTCCTCTTTTCCAGTAGCTCATTACTGGAAATGTTTGGCCTTGCTTCAAAAGAGAAGAATATGTCAACACCAGAACATCTGTGTCCACACAGAGTGCTTTGATGACAGTGATATACTCCATTTACATCAGTACCACCGAGCTGAACCTTGATGCTGTCTGCATTTAAAGATCTTACCCCACAGGGCAAGAGAATACAGGTCAAAAACGTTGATCTCTGTTTGACACACTCTCTACTTCAAGAGCACTTGGCAGCAATTTGTTCCAGAGTCAAGAATCAAACTCACAAAGTGTTGCAAAGCTCGGAGCCATGTTTGCATAACCACATTCAAAACAAATATTAAAATTCACAGTCTCTGGAGGCCAATCTACTTTTGATATGCAGGGGTTTGTGAGCAATACAGTCAAATTCTAGCCTGAATACAGGAGGAGTTTTCATTTAAATCAAAAAGCCTTAACTCGGGCTTGAACACCTGCTATTAAGAGGGATAATGTACCTATATCGCTCCAATGCAAAAAGGAAAAAATGCACTTTATCATCTAAAAGTAAAAACTGATCATCTAAAATGGAAGTGGAATAGTTATGTGTGACACAGGGTTGTGCCTATCAGTGTGGTCAGAGGAAGTTGGGTGAATTTTGGTACAGTACAAAAGCAGGCACAATAATGATTAATTCCTCAAATATTTCATAAAGAGGAGTTCAGAGATGAAGCCTGAGCTACAGAATATTTGTAGCCCATGGCTACTGGTAATCTTCCCTTCAACTGGATTTTAAAACCTTTAGCCTTTCTTCAGCTTTTTTTTAATTAATATATCATTTTCTAATTTAATTACATTGTGCCCACAAAAACTGCTATGCTGACATAAACCCTAATATGAGGTGGAGAGTTCCAATAGTTTCCCTCCACACCTTCCTCCCCTCATGTAGAGCTCAGCACTTTTGCAGCACTGAATGATCCGGTATTGCTTACAAGACTAATACATACAGAACATCAAGCAGGATCCAATCAATGCAGCTGGATATTGCCCTGCTCGCGCTCAAGGACCACAGCCACCTGTGTGCTGCAACAGCAGCTGCCACTGCTGCTAAATCCTATTTCAGCAAGGAGAGAAAGACAAAATTTTGTTTACAGGTTGCACTAGAATGCCATGGAAACAGATACGGAGGTAACTGTGAAAGGCATAATCCAAATGGAAGACAGCCCTGATAGAGCTCATATATCCAAAAATAATATATATGTTTTCCCACTTGGCAAACACATGCATAAATCCTATTAACATCAAGACAGAAAATTATACTGAGTAGACCCCAATATCACCAAGGTCCCGGATAACAGTATGAATTAATGTGCACCTTCAAAGCAGAGCAAGATGTTTTCATATGCAGACTATTAGAAAAAAAAATAAAAATATCTTAATAGAATAATCATCTTTTTAAAGAAAAAAAAATTACATCTTGAATTTTTGAAACAGGATTAAAGTGTGGTAGTAGCCCTGTAAAAGGAAGCTGCTCAGCACCTGCTGCCTACACTGTGCCTGGCTTCAGGCAATGTTATTCATTCCTCACTTTCATGGGAGCAAAATACATCCTCTAAAAATATAAAACACAAAAATAAATAGATCTCCAGGGAAATTGAAGAGAAATCGGTTTTAAAAATAGTGAAGGAGCCTCTATGTTCTAAAAAAATAAGTCCATTTTGCATTGTTTTGTAAGATTTACACTTTAATTTGAAACCAAAGTAAGGCATAAAATTTGTATGAAAGCAATATCTGATTTATAGATAAACTTAAAACACAATACACTTAGCTGCAAATACCAGACCCCAGTGAGAGAAGCTAAAGATTTTGAAAGATGATTAAAATATTCTTGATAAATGTGGCCCTGAAATGCCCCAAAAGATTTTTCTGAAGTTAAATAGTAAACACAATTAACATGGCTTTTGCTGCAAAAACACTAAATGCAATGGATTTTTTAAATTAATTTTCAATGTTATTACATGTTCCTATTGAGCTGGAATTGACTCAATCCACTAACTGTACTGTGAGTCAGTTCTTTTGTCCATATGACCTTGCCATCTAGACAAAAGGCCAAATATCCATTCTGTTGGTCATATGAAGAGGAAGCCACACAATGAGAACAATTTTATGACCACCATTTCCATCTTGTGAGTGGAAAATTTGTGACAGTTGAAGCATTTAAGAAAGATATATTCATAAAACCCAGATAATGTCCAGCTTGATCAAATGTATTACTAATTAACCAATAAAAAGCAGCAGCTGTGAAGGCTGACAAGAATAACTTACTGTACACCTCTGGCCTAACCTCACTATCCATATTCAAACAAGTCTACTGGCAAAGGCAAATCAAATAATTCTTGGGAGTCTTGCATGCATTCAGACTCACTAGATTTACATATTATTATTCACAGTAGATGTTTCATTACATTTGCTTTGAGAAAATGTACAATCTATATGGGTATTCACATGTTTAATATGCACATGAGTTCCCATTTTGTACATTTTATGGAGCTGATGATGAGGTTGTTTGGCCTCCCTCTGCCTTAGACCGGGCACTGCTCATTCACATGAGGTCAACTCAGGTGGCAGAGCTCAGAGCTCACATTCCCCCACCAAACTCCAGCCACCCCAAAATAAGCAGAACAATTCCAAGCAGCTTTTCAAAACCAGGCCAGCCCCAGTCCATCTCCCATAATATTTGCAGGGTATTTTTGTGGAGATTAATGCAGGCGAAAAATGGTACAATTACTGTCCTAAGAGCTGGAAAGTTGCTGAAAAACAATTTGCCTCAAGCCCTGACTGCTCAGTTTGCTCAAATGGACATCCCTTACATCCCTTCAGTCATGGCATCTGTAACAAGGCACTACAGGGGCCTCCAGAATTCACATTCACATCTGCTCCAAAGAGAACCTGTCCTCACAACACTGCTGCGTCAAGGTTCTCATACTCTCAGGTAAAAGTGCCCCTCAACCATAGGGTCTTTTGTACAAATGCCAAGTAAAACAGGTTTGTCTCATTAATTCTTTGAGAGAATAACTCACCATTTTGGTCGGCTTGTGGATTTCACCATTGGAGCCATCCCATCTCTGTAGAGGCTTTTTGTTTTACTGAAGTTGACAACATTGAAAATTACTCTCTGGAGGGGGAAAAAAAAGGAAAAGAAAAGAGATCAGGTATAAATTCTGAGAGACTTTCTACATGTGTTGTCTATACCAGATGCATAAAAATATACACAGATAACATATGCAATAGATGTGTAGCTTATGAATTATTGGTATTCTCCATAGACTCAGATAATGGATATCCCATCTGTTCCAAGTATTTAAAATGTCCATGTTGTTTCACACTGCATTAATACACATGAAATATATGTTTTTAATTTAGCACGTTGATTTTTCAGTAGGAATCCTAGCTAGAAAAATAAGCAGAGTGTGCTGCAGTTAACCTTATAGAGGTGGATGGAAAGCTGGGAGATGGGGTAGCATTCCTTGAGAAAACCTTCTAACCACTTCACAGAATCATAGGATAGAAAGGATAGAAACATAGAGTTGCTGAAGCTGGAAAAGATTTCCAAGATCAAGTCCAACCATTAAATCCAGCACTGCCAAGTCTGTGGATGAACCATGTCCCTGAGTACCATGATAGGAATATTTCTCTTCCCCTGGCAAAAGGAAGAATTTTCTTTTGCAGGAAGTGTACAGGATACCTACTCAGAAATTGCACATAGCCATCAGTTGTTTGAATATGAAGAAAATATTCTAAATCTGATCTTAGTTTAAACTAAAACTTTGGGGAAAATGAAGATGATATTTAATAGGTCAAGGGAAGAGTAGAATTTGGATCTTTAAGGGTAATGGACTGATACTAAAAGCAAATTAATGCAGGGGGAAGACAAGAGAAAACAGAGACAAAACCTTTTTCTTTACCATCTGTCTGCTTCAAGTCATTTCATACAAAATTACTTATTCTGTCTCTGTTAAGAAAATCTAAATTGGATCTAGCTCATCTCATGGAGAACTGACTTTTCAGATGGCAAATGCAGTATCCTTCATTTGTTGTACTCTTTTGATACCCAGTGTTGATGTACTCCAAGAAAACAAAATATGAAGTCTAAATTAGTTTTTATAAAACAGTCCACAATATAGTGATACATTCAATTTCTATCTCTCTCTAAATTTGTTTCTTTTAAGGTAAAAGTGAAGACAAACCACTAAAAAATATATTCACACTTTTCTTTTAGAGTAAACTATTGTAACATTGGCACCCTTCATAATGGTCCACAAGAAACCTAAGAACTGATTGATCACTGTTTAAAAATCAAACCATTTTTGACTAAAACAATAAGCTTTCATATGTAAGACTTTGCAAAATCAAATCTGGACCTTCCAGACAATCTGCTCAGGCTACAGGGAGTGAGAAGATTAAAGTGAAAGGAATCAGCAGTGGGACACAAACAGGAACCAGGCACATTTATCCTTTCATATGGGACAGGTAGGATGCCAGGTAAACTGCATAGCCCTAAGTGCCTCTGTACTCAAGAAAAATTAAGTTTTTTTGACGTAAGATTGTGCTGAAGATTTTGTGAATGGGAGCACATACTTCTATGCTGCAAATTCTGCCAATCAGTAAAAGCAAAATCTAAAAATAACCTGTAGGTTTGACTAGAACTGACATGAAAAAAAACTAGCAAGTTGAGAAAATCACTTTTTTGAAGGTGGTAATTCAATTTTGCACCAAAGGCAGTAGGGAAACTACATATCCCTGAGTTTTCATGCATTTTGAGATTTTCTAGTGGTCGTGAGATGAACTTATTTTTATAACTCTGGATAAAAGAATGCACTCAAATTTACAGAATGTTATGTTTGTAATTTTAGGTATTTAGGATATTGCTTATCTGATGAAATATCCACTTTGGGAGGTCTCTAGTTATTTTCCATCTTGCATTTATAATGGACGGCTTTAAGTCAGAAAATGGTATTCAGGTCTCTACATGCTTTATGCTCTACATGGAAACATTTCCCTCTATTAGAATGCTCAGATTTTCCTCTGTTACTTAACTCTGTTCATATTTTTGAAAACAAATTAAGTTCCAACAAATTGGTTTGTTAATCTTGATGTTTGCATGGAGTGAATGAAACAAACAAGATCTCCAAACCAATTGCCTTAAACTTTGGATGCAATCATGTCACTGTTGGAAAGGGAAAGTTGCTAATTTTGTTGCATACTGACTCAGAGCAGACAGCTGGTAGAGAATGTTCTTATTCCAATCAAGCTTATTTTGTATAATGAGTTGGGCAAATGTACACAACTGGGTAAGCAATGTATATAAAAACAAAAATATGCAGCTCATTTAACAAAACACTGGCGATTATTGGATCCTGAGCGCGGAGCGGGCGCTCAGCAACGCGTGCAATTCCCCCAGCATGGCACCGAGCTGGATTGGCAGAACCAAAGGTTTAACAGCACAGAGCAGAACTTTATCAACACACACTCCACTGAAGCCATAAAGCACACAAACCGAAGCACTCAAATGAGCAGCTGAACTCCGTCAAGTGTTCCTGGTGATGGTTAAAATAGTCCATGCAGCTCAGCCAGCGGAGTGTGCGAAAATGTAATGACTACAGGATGCACACTGGATACACACGCTGGAAAAATATGCAGCTTGCTCAATAAGGTATGCAAACAGCTTTGAACTGAATGCTGTCATAAAAGGCTGTGATGCAGCAATCAAAGTTTTGCTGAACAGATCTAATTTTTAGTCTAATTTCTGTCTATACTTATATCCTTTAACACAGCAGTTATGCATCGTAAAGAGCAAAAGGAAGAGAAACAAACTGAGCACATTCTAATTTTTAGTCTAATTTCTGTCTATACTTATATCCTTTAACACAGCAGTTAGGCAGCATAAAGAGCAAAAGGACTAGAAACAAACTGAGCACGGTAAAATATTTTTTCCAAGAAAATGATCCCTATTCTGAATTATTATATCAGTCATAGAGATGTACAAGATTGTCATCTTATAAGCAATATAATTGAGATACTCCAAAATGAGTATTCAAGAATTTAAGAAATGTTAAATTAAGAAAATAAAATTAGATTAAATGTACTTAAAATTCCCTATAAATTGTTCTGGTCTCCAGAGCATCAATACAGAGAAAAATGGTGGAAATTTTTACAATAAAAATACCTGTTGGGTATTTGGGAGTGTATGAACACCGCTAAAAGAAGCAATATTCAAACTGATGCTGTACCAGAAATTACAATTCTGTGCTTTCGCTTCAGTTTTAGGATAAAATCTTAAATCCGTTGCATTATTTTGACAAACTGATCTGCAGTTTCTGGGTAGGTGGAAGAGGCCTGGTACAGAAAATCCTCTCAGGAGAGCACAGAGTCAAACCATACTCCTGGGGATGCACCAGGATCTGTTGTGGCTTCACAGCATGAGGGAAGAAAACTGCTGCAGTCTCAGGCTCTGTGCTTGGGCTGCCACATCTGAGACAGATGTTGGAGAACATGAGACAAGGCAAGCAAGTTCTGCCTACTGAGAGAAGAAGGAGGAGGACCTCTTTCCATAACATGGGCAATAAGTATGAAATTGAAGGTATCTTGCTCATAAAACCACTCAGACAGAAAACAAAGGAAAAGCTTGGTACCTCCTTTAGCCCTAAAATTTACATAGAAATTGAATTTATGTCTGATTTTCCTTACAGTCCTTTGCAGACTTACTTCAAATTAAAAGCACAATCAGGTATTAAGAGATGCTCAGTATATTTAAGGTGAGCATGATAAAGATGAGCCATGAACAAAAGGAGGAAAGGTGGCTGAATTACATCACATTTTCTTCTTATTGCCAGCAGTTTTCCCGACTGGTGCTGAAAGAAGCAGCTGGCTGTTTGGGGAGCAAGCACACAGCAGGGTGGGTTTGGTTTGGAGCTGAAGGCACTGAGGGGATGGTTGCATTGAGCATCATATTCCAACAGGCTGGTGGGAGCACGGGGTTCACCCAGATCCCAGCAGGTTTTCCAACTGGAGCAGGTTTCCAAAAGAAAGTCACACCTTTGACAAAGGTTAAGTGCCTTCCCCCAGGATCAGGACACATCAGGTCCCTTCAAAAAGGCTCCCAGGTTTATTTTGCACGGTTTTCCCTGGCTGGCTGCTCACAGAAATAAATGTGCAGGTCTGGCTGACATTAAAAGGGAAAAAAAAAAACAAAAAACAAACACACCATTGAACACCACAAAATTCTGCCTGAGGCAGACACCTGGCACGGAAAATTTTGTGTCAAATCATTACAAGTATGAGAAGTTTTAACTAACTTAAAATAGGTTTTGCAGTAGGAAGTGTCAGGCTTCTTAATACTGATGTAACATACACATATTAAATATGTAAAATTATATAATATGTTTAATATTAATAGCATAACAATTTCAATTCAGTGGACAATGCTGATTGCTACCAGTAGGAGCTATCAAAGCACCTGGGGACCAATTGTTTGAAGTCAGTCATGAACAATTTCTTCATTTAACCAGCCAAAATAAGACAACTGGGCACTAAGTGTTACTATTAAGACATTTCAGCTGAAATTAAGCTGAGCTTCTTTTCTTTGAATGAACATTAAAATCCAAAGGTGGTGGATATCATGGGGCTCTGCCTCTCTTATGCTGCTTGATCTTGCTTTCCTCTCCTGTAGATTCTTTAGATATTACAGATATTGTGAATCAGATATTAGATAATATTAGATATTTAGATTTTGTGAATTCCTGAAACCTGCACCTTTTTTTGAGTTGGGTTCTTGCCTTGGCAAGATTCTTGGTTATCCTTTCCTTTTTTTTTTTTAAATAAGGTAAAGATGTAAGTTTCCATCCCTTTAAAGGGCAGATCTACTTCAGAAGGAGAGAAAGGAAAAAAACAAACAAAAAAAAAACAGAAAGAAAAATGAACCAAACTCATGACTTGTGAGATTTTGAGACACTATTTGTGAATGTGAGAAAGTGGCAACAAGGGATTGCTGCCTGCTCACCAAAAAAAGTGCTGCATTTTGGTATTTGAGTCAGAAGGTCTTTAGGATCTTTTCTGACAAAGCACCTTATACAAAGCTGTACAAAAATAAATTACACTGGAGGGACTTCCAAATGG